GTATTATTATTAAAAAGCCCTTTATTTAAAGCGTTATCCCTTAGGGGATAAAAAAACCCTAGGCGCCGCCGTACACAAGCAAAAAAAAAACCCCTACTAGTTATCCCCTAGAAGATCCTTATTATCGTCGCCTACTAGGATATCTATTAGTACGCTGGTGTATATTATTATAAGATAGAGAATATCACTTACTCTCCTTAGCGGCCGCGATTAGCGCCCTTCTAAGGCGCGTAATATAGCGCGTAGGGATACCCTCGAGGTTTAGCGTTATTAAGGTCTTATTTTTACCGGCGGGGGGATCTTCGGTAACACGTTTACGCTTATTCGAGCGCGGGGTTTCGTTAACTTCTATTTAAGTTAGTATATTATCGTATAGCACTATAAACTAACTTACCGGCTAACAAGCAACTAGACAAGCCCGCGCCGACAGTGTAATTACCGTAGCCGCCTTTGCCGAAGTCTTTCAGCACTATACACGACGTAAGTGTGCCTTTTCCTATAGTATATTTATCGCACCGATGGCGGCCCCGCTTCTCGTCACCGTATATTTGCACGAATAACCCGGAAAGAGCCTGCGAGCGTGTTATATTAAAATCAGGAAATTTGACAGCCGCGCTTTTCTGATATTTACGGCGTATAGTAATTCCACGTTTGATCTATATTCTTATTAGCGTATATTATCGTACGTTGATGTGAAGATATATATGGTGGGATTATTCTTATTTATATACTACGAGACAGTACTGGCGCACTTCTGTTTAAACTCTATATATCGAATCCATAGTAAACTACTATACAGAGCGTGTACAGATATATACAGTCGAGTATAAAGGCATCTAGTAGCGGGGATCCTAACGTTTCTTTTGGCTAGGTAGGGGGGGGGGGGGGGGCAGTTCTTCTCCATCGATTTCTGTCGGCTATTAGTACTATTTATCGCCCGCTATTCTTACCAGAGATTATTTGCTTATGCCCTCTTGCGTATAGAACCGTTTCGTCTTATATAATAGCATATAACCTATCACGCAATAAGTTAGCCCTGATCTGGAACGGTTTTACGATATCTTGCCTAGACTAGTATAGCTAAAGCACTAAAACTGATCTTCCGGACCTGTAAAATCCGAATCTTGGCCTGTTAGACCCGTATAATCGAGCCCTGATACTGCCTTAGATAGATCTTACCTGCGCGGAACCGGATATAGGGGTAACTTACTGGCCTGTGGTTATCTAAAGAGTAAAAATAAGATTAGGTCTAGCGGTGGCGTTATAGTTATAGTAGTAGAAATTTTTTCCTCGTAGCTTATTAGCTCATTATTACGTTATAGACTTTTCTTTTACTACTAGCGTATTCATATATACGAATATATACTACAGCGTACGGGTGTTTTTTTCGTGCCTATAGAGTGTACCTACTAAATTTAAAGGGACTTTTTCGAGTTGTTATAGTGTCCCCTGCGGCATGCGGTATCTTGGCTCACGCGACTCGACACGGTCGTCCTGAACAATGGGGCCATGTTAATTAATTAATTGGCTACTGTAGGTCTGTCCTTCCTGGCACGATATAGGGTTCACGTTGAAGAAACCCGCTCCTGAGCATGGTCAATTTGGCCGTACGGGCCTTAGCAAACCATCTAAGGTATCTTCCCATTCTTTCTCTTTCTCCTTGTACCCTGTTTGTCCTTTCTTTTTGTATCTTTGATCATTCGTTTGATCATTTTGTGAAACGTCGACTCCGACCCTGACTCCGACCCTGACTCCGACCCTGACTCCGACCCTGACTCCGACCCCAGCTGCAACTCCTACATCGACACCAACTTTGACACAGCATTTCCACGAACCGTTGGGTCTTCTGGATGTGGCCATGGATACAATGCTCAACACAGATGATGTCCAGGTGTGGTGGGAAGAGGCCATGACCTGTCTTGCGGCTCGGGTCCGAACAATACCGTCAGTACAACTGCGTCCATGCTTTGCCCTCCCCCCCATGGTTTCTTCTCTTGAGCCTCCCTCTCCCAGCTTCTCTCTTCGAGACTTACGTGTAGTTCTGCCTTCCAGGTTTCAAGTCGCCCAGGTCCTTTTCTCCCTGCTTGCTTTAGCCGCCAGTGTCTGGGCCATCGGTCGAGTCCGTAATGCCGAGGACAAGACTCCTCGCAAATACACCGTACCAGGGCCCAAGACCCCTGATACGTACCAGACGGTTGAAGAAACGAGCATCAAGGTAAGCTCTGCCTCCTCCCTTGTAGTTCAATAAGTGCAGAGTAGGGCAGCGGTTTTCCTCTCTACGAAAGAGGCAAACAAAAAAAAGAAGAGGAAAAAAAGGAAAAAGGGAAAAAAAACTTGTTGAGACTTGTCGAGCTGACTCTTCGTCCAACAGCTCCCCGGCTCCTCTGCGATTCAATGCTACGCACCAGCAACCGGCCAGTTCCTAGGCCTCATCAATCCTTCCACCCCCGCCGCCATCGACCGTGCCCTCGATGCCGCACATGCCGCTCAGGCCAAGTGGTCTCGGACCGACTTCGCCGCTCGCCGCGCCGTGCTGCGAACACTGCTCCAGCATGTGCTTGAAAACCAGGAGGCCATTTGCCGCGTTGCCTGCCTCGAGTCCGGCAAGACAATGGTCGACGCCCAGCTGGGAGAGATCCTCGTCACCGCAGAGAAGCTCGAATGGACCATCAAGCACGGCGAGGACGCCCTCCGCCCCAGCCGCCGCCCCACAAACCTGCTCATGACCTACAAGCGCAACGAGGTGCGCTACGAGCCCCTGGGCGTCGTCGCCGCCCTCGTCAGCTGGAACTACCCCTTCCATAACTTCATCGGCCCCGTCATCTCGAGCCTCTTCGCCGGCAACGGCATCCTCGTCAAGATCTCCGAGCAGGCTGCCTGGAGCGCCCAGTACTTCACCGCCATCGTCCGCGGTGCCCTCGTCGCCCATGGCCACGACCCGGCCCTGGTGCAGTCCATCGTCTGCTGGCCCCAGACGGCCGCTCACATCACCTCCCACCCCCGCATCTCCCACCTGACCTTCATCGGCTCCAAGCCCGTCTGCCACCAGGTTGCCGCTTCGGCCGCCAAGCCCCTCACCCCGTTGGTCGCCGAGCTCGGCGGCAAGGACGCCGCCATCGTTCTCGACTCGGCCGCCCGCGACCTCGCCCGCATCGTCGAAACCCTCCTCCGCGGGACCTTCCAGGCCTCGGGCCAGAACTGCATCGGCATCGAGCGTATCATCGCCACCCCCAAGGTCTACGACCGTCTCGTGCAGCTTCTGGAACCCCGCGTCCAGGCCCTCCGTCTGGGTCCCACCGCCGACGTCGGTGCCATGATCTCCGACGCCTCCTTCGACCGCCTCGAGTCCCTCACCACCTCCGCCGTCGCCGCTGGCGCCCGTCTCCTCGCCGGCGGGAAGCGGTACAACCACCCAGACCACCCCAAGGGCCACTACTTCACCCCGACCCTCCTCGCCGACGTGACGCCCGAAATGGCCATCGCCCAGGAAGAGTGCTTCGGCCCCCTCATGGTCCTCATGCGCGTCCCTTCCAACGAACCCGCCGACGTCCTCGCCTACGCCAACTCGTCGGACTTTGGCCTCGGCGCCTCCATCTTCGGCGGCGACTCGGACCCCTGCCTGCGCGCCGTCGTCGACGGTCTCCGCACCGGCATGGTCGCCGTGAACGATTTCGCCGCCTACTACGCCGTCCAGCTCCCCTTTGGCGGCGTGCGCGGTTCTGGTTATGGCCGCTTCGCCGGGAAAGAGGGGCTCCGCGGCCTCTGCAACCCCAAATCCGTCTGCCTCGACCGCTTCGGCTGGCTCGGCATCCGCACCGGCATTCCGCCCCCCGTTCGCTACCCCGTCGCCGACCAGGAGCGTACTTGGCGCTTCACCAGGGGTGTTGTCCAGCTTGGCTACGGCCCAACCCTTGTTCAGAAGGCCGCTGGTCTTCTCAGCATGGCCAAGAATATGTAAAACCAAAACCTTTTATTTTTATTTCGGGAGGGGAAAAACCAAGCCGCATACTTATTTCGGCCGTGTAATATGACATGTAGAAAAAGCCCGGCTGGCTGCCCTCGGCGGCGCAGCGGACATGCTTAGCAAGAGAACGGGGAATCGGAAAATAGGGAGCACCAAACGCACTTTTTGCAATGATATGCCAGATTACACTTCTTTATTTCATTCCATCCGCCTGCCTATGGCCGCCTATTAGATCGTCTCGGGTCTATGCCAGTCTTCCCTCCTTGCCCACTGCGCCGACGAGGCACGGCTTAAGAATTCCTTATCTGTTATTACTTCCTGCAGAAGAAATGGGCTTATGGTCGTGGTGGACGATATTCGACGATGTACAGCCGTGTTTCTTCGACTTCCCATTCTCTTCCTTCGCCTTGTTCCCCCTTTCCTAACCTCCGCATGTTAACGACGCCTACGTCCTGGGCTAGCTAAGAGTTTTTTATATGGTCTCCACGGTTGACAGTGGGGTGGACACGATATCCTAGAAGAAAAGGTGACGCAAAGTTGCAGGGCCATCAAGAGCAAGGACAAGCGTTTTAGGGCAACCTCTCGGCATATATTTCCACATCAACTCTCGGTCGATATGGCCTCAAATACCAGACTGGCCGCGAACTATCAACCTCTTTACGAATCAAGGACAATCAGAAATCCATAGACTGCATACAGTCCTCGATTCCCCCCCATGTGCTAGATGGCAGCAGTCCATCGGGTCGTCAAGAACAAGGAGACCCATTGCACTCGAAGGAGACGTCAGAACTGAGGAGTATCCCAGCCCTTTTGATCGTCGCCGCCAGTGGCATGCCCAGCACCGGAGCCCCAGGCGTCATCGCCACCATTGGCTCCCCATGAACCGCCTCCATCACCCCCCCAGGTATCGCCGCCGCCGCCGCCGTCGCCGCCATCGCCGCCATTGCCACCCCAAGAGTCCTGCGCATCGGCCGGACGGTCGTCCGGGTTGGACTCCTCCTCCCATTTCAGATGGAGGAGGTCTTCGCCCTCGGGCATGTACATCTGGAGAAACTCGGGGACCTCCTGCTTGTTCTCGAGAAGAAGACGAACGAGCCTGGTGGCCATGGGCTCATCCCGCTCGGTACAAAACGAGGTGGCAAGGCCTCTGTGTCCCATACGGGCGGTGCGGCCTGGAAAAATTTGTGAACGTGAGTCATATGACGCCCTAACAAGGCCGGGGAGGGAGAGCACATACCGATTCGATGAACGTATTCTTCAATGCCTCCGTAGTCGAGCGAAGGAAGGTCGTAGTTGATGACGTGTTGAATGTTCTGAACATCGATCCCGCGAGCCATGACGCCGGTCGCAATGATTATGGGTGTCTTTCCTGAACGTAAACCACGCATTGCGGCCTCGCGCTCGAGCTGCGTGCGATCGGCATGCATCGACGCGCAGGGGTAGCCTTTGTTGAAGAGGAAAGCGTCAACCTCATCGGCCGACCTCTTTGAGTTGACGAAGATGATAGTGCGGCAAGGGTCCAGTGACTCGATCGCCTTGATGAGCTGCTCCTCCTTCTCCTCGGGGCGAACCTCGATGAATTTCTGCAAAATATTGCTGTGGGTGCTGCCAATACGACCCACGCTGATTTCGACGTGCGACTCTGCAAGGTGCGTACGGGCCAAATCTCGCAAAGCCTTTGGGAAGGTGGCCGAAAACAGCATGTATCGGACATTTCCCTCATCCTGATCTATCGCGCTCAGACGGACATGATTAGTTGGGCACGGATCTGATGTGAATTGAAGTGTACGCAGACGACTTGCCTCCACCCCTCATGATGGTCTCGAGCTCCTCATTCCAGTCATCGTGGAGCATCTCGTCGGCCTCATCAATGACCAAATAGCGAAGCCGGCGCAGCGTAAGAATGTCATGTCGGCCAATGAAGTCACAAAGCCGTCCCGGAGAGGCAATCAGGATATCGCAGCCCTTTCCCAACTGGTCGATCTGCTCGCGGAGCGGACCACCGCCGTATGCGACGCAGGGACGAAGCATGGTGCGGTAACAGAATTTACGGGCCTCGTTGAAAATCTGAACTGCCAACTCGCGAGAAGGACAGACAACCACGACAAGAGGCTCGGCTAGGACACGAGGCGTGACACCAGGAATGAACGTCGCCGGGTTAGGACGAGGAGCCGCCAGCTTCTTGGCTTTTCCCATGAGCTTGTTCAGGATGGGAAGCAGATACGCGGCGGTCTTGCCCGAGCCTTTTACTTTGCGTTAACGGAGAACCCGTCTAAGCTGGGAAATGTGGAAGGAATATAAGAAGCGATTGACTGACCGGTCTGGGCAATGGCAACGACGTCGAACCCTTCTTGAATGGCAGCGAAAGTGAATCGCTGGATAGGGGTGACGACGCGAAATCCGGCCATCTCAACATTGCGAAGCATAATGGGGTGCAGACCAGCATCTTCGAAGGTCTTGCCGATGGGAACGATACGAGTATCACCGCGCTGGCGGACCTCAAACTTTTCAATCCTGTAGACCATTCAGCCATAGATATGCAGCAGTGTGTGATGGCTCGGAGCTTACGTTTCGTACGCCTGCCCCATGGCATCCAATCCCCGAAGTTCGGGAGGCCCAAAAAGCTCCTCCTCGAGCTCGGGGACTTCAGGACCAACATCACCGTATTCCTCAATATTGAACTGGTAGCTCTTTGCATTGTGAGCAAAGCCCAGAGCAAAGTTCCTTGCGTTCTCCTGGCCAAATTCATCGTAGTTATAGCCCTCTGGCTTCACCCAACCTTTCTGGGCCGGATCGGTGGCATCGGGGGAGTTAGCGGCCTCATGACCACCTGGGTCCTTGGGGAGAGCCGACTTAATGTCGGCAACACTGAACGTGTCGATCATTCTCTGCAAAAGACGACAAGTGGCCGAATACGGAACGCCCACTAAATTCCTCGGTCAGAACAGGAAGATCAGGACATGAAGGTAGACAGTATCACTTCGAAGATGGGTATTCGGGAGAAGGAAGAGGGGATCACCCGAGAAGGAGAGCCTATGGTCACCCGCAAGGAGGCAGCACCAACGTACCTTTGGGACGTCGTAGTATTGTCTAGGGGCAAAGAATGCTCAATACTGGGCGAAAGTCTTTGACTGTTAGTTCAGATATCCCTCGACAGTCGGGTTGATTTTGAGGGGAAAGGAAGAAAGAAAGACTGAAAAGGGTGTGTAGATGAACTGGAAGAGAGGAGGAAGAAGAAAAGGTTAGGAGCAAAAAAGCAAGGCCACCTCTAGATATAGGAGAAGATCCTGTCCGGGAGGCTCCACGTGAAAAGATTTTCAAGAGTCAAGGAAAGAGCCCCGCGGAAAAAAGGAGAAGCTTAAACCAGAAAGTAGGGAGGCAGAAAAGTAGGCAAGAAGTGTAGACGGCCTGGAAAGTCATGAAGTTCACGGCTCGCCGTGAAGGTCATCCGGCAGAGAGATGAGGGGGGGAATAAAAGCAAAGTGCACCAGCCAAAGGAGGTGGTTATTTAGAGCGGCATGCCAAAGAAAGGGCCATCGCATAGCACCACTATCAAAGCAGTCTCATAGTGGATGTAAGAATGAAACGGCGCAAAGGGAAGATGGGAGAGTATCGAACTGTGCCAGAGGGTGCCAAATGGCCGTTACAGACTGGAAAGAATATCAGAGAAATCATACCTGGTCAGGCTATCCAGACAGCTCCAGATACCAAACAAGCACTCTTGGTGTTGCTGGAAACACCTAAATCTGTGTATGTTTGGGATAAGGTACCTTATGATGAGGAGGATAGAGATTAGAATTTGTGCATGTTGTGTCCTGATGTCTTTGATTTCAAAAGATTTCATGGTTATACTCCTGGCTTCATGGCAAGAGCACCCAACGTAGTACTTCCCGTCTAGGAGTTACCAGGCCAGCATAGAACCATAAGGCACCTTAGGTAGGAACATAGGAACATAGGAGCATAGGAATATAGGAACTCCTCTGGATATCTCCGACTTAACTTGACAAGTCGCCAATGAATCGGTGGCAGTTACCCAAGGCATGTCATGTTGGCCTTGGCTAATGCTCCTACCATTTATTGGGTCTGGCCTTCTGTTCGTAGCTTACCTTAAGGTAGAGGTAGTTTGTGTACCTTGCAAGGATGACTTTGCTATGCATGGCTGGGCCTGGGTGATTCAGGAGGGAAAGAACGATGGATACTGAAACGTGCCTACCTTTACCTACCTTAGGTACCTTGGGAACCTAGAGGAACATACCACAGATTACCTTGCCTCCCTCCCGATGTACCGAGGCTTAGGTTAGAAAGGGTCCAGCTTTGATGAAATAAATCCAGGGCGAACATAAGCACGGTACTAACATGCCACCGTCTCTGGTATTTATTCCAAGTAGAGTGTTGCTTGTAGACTACCCCTGAGCTGCATTGATGCCACCCTTAGTGTGATTGCACATCAGCTGGTCAGGTCTGCCAATGAGTTGGTCGTGGCAAATTCTGGACAGACAGGTAGACTGGTTCAAGGGTCCTCAAGAAAGAGTCGACTTGGACCATAGGTAAAGTAAAGAGCAGGGTACTTGAAAGGCATGGCATGTCTAATTCCTGCCCATAGGCAGCTTTTGTCTTGTTGGTCGCCAAATGTCCCGGAACGCCGCATACTCATGCAAACACATAGCTTGCGCACATAGTCTCCCCTTTTGTTCGCCAAGCCTGTTGTCCCTAGTAAAATCATAAAGCAAGTAGTTCGAAAAGGCTGGCCAGGCTTTCTGTTACCTCCACGACCTGCCCTAAAGGTAGCCAATAAAGCGCCGATGACAGACCTGGCGTTGTCGGGCAGGTAGCAGCCGCATCCGGGCAGCTATTCCACGGAGAGAGAACCCTAACCGTACCGCTCCGCGGTATAATTTCATGACGGCATGTCAGGACTGAGATCATGATATTGGAAAGGTCAGCGGACAAGTTGGCTGGACGGTCGTTCCCAGGGCCAAATCCTGCCAATCCCCTGCAGCGTTCGGCCGGGTGAGAGGGTTAACCGGTTCCTGATGCTGCGGATGGTTGGCCTAAATATTTCGCCGGGGGATGAATTCATCGTAGGTATGAAGCCACGTACGAACATGATCTCCATGATCAAATGGGCAAGGAGCCCAGGGGCTCGGGAGTAGCAGGTATTGGGTTCTTTCGTCCGCTGAAATGAGGTTAGGCCGAACAAGCCTGTCCAATACGCCGTCCCAGAATGAAATATAGCTCGGTGGGTATCGTAGACTTTCGTGTTCTCGTCAGATCACCACAGATCTAGGAGGTCTTGCGGATCCACAGCGGATGAAGGCTCGAACCCGGCCATCCCATCCTTCAGAGACTGTTCGAGAGCTGAAGCAGACCGGCCAACAGCCCCTCCCTCTTTCTTTGTATGTTCTACTCCCCGAGAGAACAGAATCAGAAACCGCCGGCCAAACACGCGCTGGCGGGACTCGTTGTCGATGTACATTTCGGCTTCCTCGTCTCGGCGGGAACCGAACAGGTTCAGGTAGGCGAAGGGCTGCGGCACACGGGGCACGCGGTACATGCCGTCCCAGTGCGCATTCGGATTCCGTGTCGCAACAGCTTCAGCCTCTAGACCGGCCGTCAGAAATTTCGCGAGGATGGCTAGTTGCCGAACGCGGGACTGCGCATCCTTGGTCTTGAGACTCCCTCCCTTGGGCGCGGCAGACCAGCCGCCAGTGGCCGAAACGGACCACCCCATGAGGGCGCAGAAGCTGCTCAGCGTCTTCGCCCACCCGCCGGGGCAAGACACGATCTCGTCCTCGGCGACGTCCAGTAGCCACTCCAGGGCGGACAGCGCATCGTTGCTGATGTCGACGGACAGATGGGTCATGCCGGCACGGACATACATGATGCATCTCTCCGCGTGATTCCTCACCTCGTCTCCCGGGAGTTGTCGGAACAATTTAAGGAGCTGTGTGCGGACCGGGCCACATGGGTCGGAGATGAGGGGTAAGAGCCTTGCCAAGAGGGTTGCGGTACCGACAGGATTATTACCGGAGGCAACTTGCGTGGTGAGATTGGCAAGGGCCTCTTTACGCTGCTTCTCCGACCTCGAGTTCGACGCAAGGGAAAGACTATGTCTGAACTGCGCGCTGGTCTCCGGAGCTTCGGTCGAGAGATTCTGTTGTCCCATGACGATAGATTTCGCCTTGAAGCTGGTGTCGGTGAAGTTAGAAGGCTTGGCCTTCGCCTTTCCCACCTTGAACTTGGGTTTCTAAGCTTCAAGGTTAGTAAACATAAGCATTGGGTGGTCCTAGTGAGTCTGGGTTTATGTGGATCCATCCAAGGGCCGTAAGTCTGTTCTAGTATTTTCATACCTGGAAGTCCTTAGCCTTCTCCTTCTTTTTCTTCGTGCTAGAACCCATATTGACGTGGAGACACCCGGACTTTTGACAAGCTTCAGATACGAATGGTGTACGGTGATTCCCTCAAACTCGGCCAGAGAGGGAACGCTTTTAGTTTTTCCGCGGCTTTCCGTTGGTTGTCGGTTCTGAGGTGTCGACAAAACTTCACCCGACCCGACCTTGAGAACCATGATGGATGAAGTTTGCTGATTATGTAATCACAGAACACTCCAACCCCCGACTCAGCAAAGTCTATCCCGTATTACCGTACCTCAGTCGAACATATGGGCCTGGGGGAAACGTTCTTCAAAACATCATACTTAATTACAGGACAGGCGTAAGCGGGATCTAGTTCCTACCCACTGCTTTACCATTATCGCCCCTTGCATCCCAGTTCGATTTGCCATGGTCGACCCAATATCTGTAAGCAAGGACTTGCCCCATATTGGCCGCGACGTCGAAGCTCAAGTTATGGGCTGACACACTAATCGGGCGTAATGGCATAGATCAGCGGGCACGACGCGCTTGACGAGAAACTTACCCGCCTATCCAAGAAGCCAGGCGTCAAAGCAACAGTAGTCCTCGATCGAGCAACGGGCGCGATTCTCCGGACCAACGGCCAGTTATCAAACCTCATTTCTACGGCTGCCGCCGCCCTAAAAAGTCCGACGGACGGTGGTTCCTTCTCGAGCGAAGCGGGCGCGACACAAAACGGCGAATCCCACGGGTTCGAGGAATTTACACGGAAGGTGTGGACTTGGGTTAATGCGTCGGGCGGTCTAGTCGAGGAATTCGACACTGAGGTATGATTGCTACCACTAGGCTACCCGAGGCCAAAAAAAAAGACTGCAAGCCCTTTCGCGAGTTGGCCGTGAACCGCTGACATCCGACTTTTTCTTTCCTTGTTTTCGCTGTAGGACGAGTTGAAACTTTTGCGATTGCGGACCAAGAAGCAAGAACTGGTCATCGTCCCGGATGCGAAATACCTTCTTATCCTCGTGCACGACACGCCGCCGGCTTGACGAAGAATTACGAGTCCCAGACATTGGACAAGAGATATTTTGAATTCTACAAAATGAAACAAGTGGTCCGCGTAGCGCAGCGGCAGTATGATAACACCCTCCTGAAGGGGGTTGGAAGCCCGTCGAAACCCGTGGCCTGGAAACTACCCAGATGGTTTCTGCGAATGATGCAAACAAACTGCGGGTGGGCGGGATACACAACTGGGACGGAGAGCTGAATTACGGTCCAAACGGCGTCCTGTTATATGATACCCCCAAAGCAAAGCATTGGTTTGTTGCCAAAGTGGCGGGCGTTTGTTGCGAAAGTGTTGCTGGGCGCAGGCGGCGAGTCTCAATCCCAAATCAGAAGGGAGACTGTGACCAACGTGTCCCACGGAAAGTTCTGGTGGAAATCTCGGGGACAAGCATCTCCAACTTGACTGGCAAACAGGCCGTTGATGGATAGTGGCATCCCCAAAGGAAACGGCACGGAAACGTGCGTGACCTAGATACAGCTCAGGGGACAACTGCGCCCAAGGACAACTAGGTAGTTCCTCGGCAGGTAGCATATCTGAGTGCGAGCTTCTGGTAACTTAATCAAGCTGCCATACCCGAGAGCGCAGAATGGTATAAAAAAAATTGTTCCCATGCAATTGATTGTGTCGTGACACCAAAATGTTTCAAAGGACTCATGCGACTCGGTGGCGCCGAACACGTATTCTTAGCCTGGGTTCTACGGATTATTATTACAAGAATCACTGTCTTAGAAGGGGACTCCTTGTCTCCGTACGGCTAGATATCCAACAAAAGGCCTGGGTTTCCCTTAACCATGCATACACACCATACATATTGACGACTCCATATTAAGATTAGAGGTCTCGCGGGTAAATAACCACCGTCTGTCGTGGGCCGTTTCATTCAAAAGTCGGATTACATACCGGTACACCAGGCATACACATGTTTCGGAACGAGTAAGGATTGTCATCGACGCTGGCAGATCGCCCGAACTCGCTGCTTCTCATGTTTCCTGTTCCTCGTGTTCTTATCACGGCATACCTATACTTTGTGGCGGTGGGCATGATGCTACTGCTATCAAGAGCAATCGAGTCGTTATGCGTGCAGCCAAGACGATCAAGTATGGTGTTGCAACGCGCGGGCAGGGCCTGCGAAGGGCGTAGGATACCTTACCTACGATATGTCTTCATCTATTAAGGACAATGGCAGTACCAATGCCGGCGTCGCAATCCAGGCTTGAGCTGGTTTGGTAGCGAGGTGAGGGTGGGGGGTTTGACAAAGATTCCAAACCCACTTGGGAGGAAGTGGTGAGACAAGGTGGCCCATCCCATTCTCGGCTCGTACCGACCATATGGCGGTGATACATTACCATACGTTGTAATTACGCAAAGGCAAAGACCGGTTGCGATCGAAACTGGCTCCAATGTGCCCAGAAAAAGATGACAGGGTATATTATCATCTGAGACAGGCCGTAATATCGATGAGTGGAAACTTTCCACTCCAAACATCATCCCACTGGTGACAAATATGCCAACATGGCCTGTGAGACTTGGATCAGACTGCAGGAGAACGACCGACGGGGGTGCAGAATCCCGTTACCAGACCCAGTAAATACCCCAGTGCTGGACCGACAACACAGCCAATTCGTCGTATTTCGATGCATATGCAAAAACGCACCAAGACAGAAAAACTGTATTTAATGTTAGTTGATCGTGAGATTGGGATGGGCAGTGTACATGCTGCACCTCCTTTTGTGCAACGAGCCGGATGGGACGAGGGCTGGGACGTATGGACCTACATATGTGCAATTGCAGCCTACAACGACAGTGACGAAAGGTCTTCCATATCTTACCTTACCTACTTGAGTATGTAAGGGTTTGGGGTCGCAGTTCGTCCACATATCTTTCTGATCTTTAACGCATGATCGTCCAGGATAGCTTGTCGACAGGCTCGAGGTTTCTCCTTCTACATTTTTCTCCTCGTTCTTCTACCCACTTCTTAATTTCCCGACATTTTCGACAAACACAATCCACTGCCTGACCCAGATGTCCGTCGTCGATATTTTGATACCAGAAACTGGCCTACATTGTCGATCTACGCACTAAGATCAAGTCGCCTCGCCTCTCTCTAGCCAGCTATCATTGAGTTCCAAGCTAGCCGTTTTGTGGCGTCATCCCTCGCACATTGGCGCATAAGACATCCTAACATCGTCCACTGGACACGCGCATAACTATCGGGAAATTTTTCTTCTTTTTTCTTCTTTTTTTTTTGTATTTATTTAACCGCTCAACATCGCCAGGCTCACAACCCAGAGCCTAAACGCAGGGTACATCACCTCGCAATACGACGAGATGAGACGATAAATAGTACTCCAGCGCCATTGACGACCGTCTCGCCTGGTATGCCTTCCCTTCCGATCTTCCGGCGCGGCTCTCGGTCGCAGCAGAACAGGCCTGCAGGCGAATTGGCGCAGGTTCCAGCAGGGGAGACACCGGATCAGGAGGAAACTGATGACGGGGAACGACCGGAGCTCCGTACTTCCAAACGCGAGATACTGCACGACTTATTCAGGCGGACGCGGGATCGAGCCGGGTCTCGGTTCTGGCCGGGGTTTGGGTCCGATGCGCCCGGCTACCAAGCCCCAGGGCCGACTTGGAGCCCGTCCGGTCATGGCCCGAGAAGTCCTGCCGTCCCGGAGTCGACCTTGGGGGGTACCTCCACCTCCTCGCAGAAACAAGCTGGACCCGAAACCCAAGGCCAAGCTCGGTTTCCGGGGTCGGTCGCGAAAAGAACTGTAAGTCAGCTGCCTACCTTACCTTAATTACTTCGTACTTTTGTTTTCCGTTACATCACATACGTCTATTCTGGGGTTCTAGAACCTCGTTAGTCTCGATACTTTCCCCCTATTCTTCCCGTTACCTAATCCACCAGTCAGCTTTCCCCGACTTCCCCGACTTCCTTTTCCCCGCTCGCCATCACACTTGCCTCCCAACTATTATACCTTACCTAGCTTGACCTGACGTTGCAACTACCTCCCTGCCCACTTACGAATGCATACTTTGTATGTTAAGGTACTGTACTTTGTCGTGTTCGACCAAAAAGTACCTACTCCGTGCTATATACCTTACGTGCGGAGGTTAACCTGCTCGGGCTGATCCTACCTCAGCTCAGCACTGGCAGCCACACGGCCTTGTGCCAGGCCGGATTCGCTAGGTCGGATTCGCCAGATCGGATTCACCACTTCGTACATCGTACCTACACAGGACAGGTCACCCCTCAGCCCATTCCCGAAGCAGTGAATGCAAGTGCGCCGGGCAGCGTGGGGCATTCTCACCCACTTCCTTCGCCAATTGTACACCATGTGCCACCTTCCTCCCCTTCTGCTTCCCACCTAATATACGTTTACCTCCTTACCTTACACCACCTCACCTACCCACCTACCCACTCACCCACTCACCCACCCACCTCCCTACCTCCCTACCTCCCTATCTACCTTAGTTACCTTACATAGCAAGGTAGAAAGCTGTGCTTCTCAGCACAAGTCTGCCAGTTCCGGGTGTTGATACCGCAGGTCGACCCCGTCTACAAGGCTTTGCAGCCTAAGCACAAACACTCCCTTCTCCTATCTGTCCCCCGCGCGCTCTCCTTTTTGAGTACCTATCTCCGTCATCCCTCGTGGCCCCCTTCTTTATCGGCTGCCGTTTGTCCACTTCGTCCTCCTCGTCCCCCTATTCTCTGCCTCTCCTCCCTCCTGTTGTTCTCTGAACCGCCTCCGTGCCATAGACGACAGGCTCCAGGGAGACGTTCGCATCACGACGTCGCGGCGAGGCTGCTACCGTGACGATCGTAATCTACGTCTCATCTGTCCCATTGCATCGTTCCAGCACCAGCTGCAGAGAGTTCTGTCCCACCAGCCTCGTACTTTTGCGCTGTAATCAGAGCCCCGCCAGGCTTGTTGCGATCGGTCTAACAAGTTGCGATCTAGACGTTGAAATCGTCTCCTTCGCCCTCTTCATCATCGCCACGCAACGGCAACCAGTTTCCCTCACCATCTCTCAACGCCAACAAACCCCTCCCGCCACCGCCTCATTTAAGTTCCGAAGAGGCCAATGGCCCTGGTCCTCGCCCTGGTCTCGTACTAAGGTTCAACAAGATCATGGCTACCCTCACCCAGGATGATATCGAGAAACTCTTCTCCGGAGCGCCGCAGTACTTTGCCCGCTCGGAAGGCCACTACACAGGTGCGCCGCACCCCTCTGTTGCCTTTCCCTGGGACGAAGCCCTGGAGATCCGGGACCTGCGCGACCATGTCCAGATCGAGGACTCCTCCTGGAGCTGTGTCACTGCCTGGCCTCACGTCACCCGGGACGCAAGTCGTAGCGCGGCCGCCTGTCTCAAAGAGAAGAAACGACCTCACTTTTACCCTCGGTGCCGTGAGAGGCCTAATATGCTGAGCATGGAGGGCTTGGAGAAAGGCACCATGGGATACCAGGCGGCTCTAGAGCTAGCCGTCTCTGATGCTCTACAGGAGGAAGAAAAGCTGAACGTGGATGAGGACAGCGGCGCTTCCAGGGCCAGACTCATATTCGAGAAACGCCAGAAGATGCTGAACTCCAAGGATGGCCTCCGTCCCCTGGAGGAAGCGGCCATATTAGACCAGCTCATCAAGAACTATGACCGGTATACGTCCAACCGAATCAACAAGAGCATCTCGAGCACCTTGTACAACGAGCTGTTTCTCGGCATCCTGCACCCGCCCACCCGTGTCGTGGACCACCAGGATCCATACAGTCTCACCGTCCAAATTCAGGCTCTGCTCAAGGTGCTGGCGACACCGCACCTGTGGCTGGACTTCTCTCAAGTCGAGTGGAGAATTCGGTTAGGCCAGATCCTCTTGGGCTCCTACCATAGAGACTTACACGACATGGATCCTCGCATTGATGAGATGGAGGGTGAGGATTGGGGGAAGGAGGAGAGGTATTGGCTGTTGTTTCAGATCCTGTTGGCCTGCGAGCTTCTCATCCGCCTGGACGCTATCACCGAGGGGGAAGAGCTCGGCATGGAGTCTATCAGGCCCGCCGAGATCCGCCGCTTCGAGCGGGACGCTACGCCCTCTGTGAGGTGGTCTATGCACCTTGCGCGAGCTTGGCTCGAGAATATCCAAGTGGTTGAGACCGAGGTTGATCTAGCTGCTCCGAGCCCGGAGCGGAATCACCTGAGCGGCTGGCTGGCATCTCTTGCGGGTAGAATGGCCCCGAAACATGGTCAACCTCACCAGCCCCAGACCGAGAAGGTGACCGTGTATACGATACAAGGCCGCCATCCGCAGCGGCAGGTTGATGGTCTCACCCACTTCGCGAGAAAGCTACGTTGGCCGGAAGTAGAAAAGTATGCAGCGCGCATATCGGACAATGTCGACAAAGCATCCAAAGCGACCCCGATCAACACGCCGGTCGACGACTCGCCGCAGAGCCCCGAGGGGAAGGACTCGTCATACTTTGTAGGCTCGCGTGCTGAAGCAGACGTGACGACGCAGCCGTCCAGGCGACGCAAGATTACTGCCGCGCTCCACCCTCGGGGTTGGCTCTCCAAGTCTTACTTATCCGGCCTGGTGCTGCCAGGAGAAGGGTTGCAACACTTTATCATGTCCACGTTGCTTGAAAACGACAATGACGCCATGGAGAAGCTCGGTCCTATGGCCAACCTCTGTGGAGGGTTCATCTACTGCGGCAAGAGCTTCTGGAGCACCGCTTGTGTCGTTGGCCGCGTCCTAGCTGCGGGTAAGGGCTCTGCAGAATGTATGGGCTGGATCTCTAGCGACATCATCCCCCAGGGGCATAAAGACGGTTGGGTGGATATCATAGTAGATGAACTCCCAGGTCAGTCTCATCGTGGTTGCTAGACCTGATGTCCACCGTGCTGTTACTGTTACTGTTACTGATCATGCCTGGCAGAGGACGCAAACAAAACCGGCACGAAAGCGAGGCTCTGGGCCAAGACAGAGATTGAAAAGGAATCGGATGTCCTCGGCGATGCTGACCCCTTGTCCGTGCTACCAGGCGACTTCATCATCCCATTCGAAAACATCTATAGCCAACCGCTCCCTAGCCTCGATATCAAGGTCCAATCTCTGAATCTTTTTGCTCCCGTCGACTCGGTTCATACTACACCGACGGATAAACATGCGCCAACACCCTTCTCCGACGTTAGTCGCGTGTCGCAGACCCATACCTACCCGTCCTCCATTTCGTTTTCGGTCGCCAGCTCAGCAGGAGAAACCCAGGAATACACCTTTGCCCTCTCTAACGATGTGTATTTTGTCACGGCTTATCCATGCGCTCCATCTGCGCATGTCAGGGTCATCAAGTCGCCTTCGAGCCCGACGATTCAACAAATTAATCTGACTGGAATCGACGTTGCTGGCCAGGCCTCCTGCTCAGCCACCATCACTGGTAAGTCTCCAGGGGAATTTGGTGGGCACGTCCTTCTTACCTACATTGACTTACTAAATACAACAGGCCACCCACTGCACAAATCATTTACATATACCGTCATTCATCTATCGGAACTTCTTCAGAAGCAAGCTACATCCACACTGGATGATCTGCTTACGGCTACCGACCCTGCAGTTCGACGGCCTTCCATGACACCTGCGTCCAATCTCAACGCGCTTCCCCGCGTTCTAGTTATTGACTGCATCACGGGTCTTAAGATGCCTCCCCAGTCTGCACACGACGCACCATTGTCACCGAGCTCCCCCGTCGTGGAGCGCCACGATAGTCTCTGTATAGCAACTGCTAACTTACACCTCGAGTCGCGACGGAGACAATTCGGCAGCGACATGGAGATCCTCGTGCGTGCTCTTTGTGCCGAGAAGGGCTGGAATGCTATTATTTCCAGGCGCCGGCGAGGCTGCCTCGCTTGCGCGATTCGTGAGGCCGGCGCATTGGGATGGAAGGTCATTATACGGGTTGATTAGGGCGACACCGAATCTCTCTTAGCCCCTCGGCCTCGGAGTTCAAGGCTCGGCGTAGTCTTATGCGTGCCTACAGCGTTACGTTTTATTTGTTTAGCGGAATGTATTGCAAATTGACATCACCAATGTACAAATAAATACTGGCCCCAAGCTTCCTTGGGTTTCAATCCTCCCCCACTCCCCTTGATTCTCAATGGAATTAGCGCAGGTGAGAGGAACTGCTGTCTCGGCGCGTTAGTTCACTCGTTGTTTGGCTGTGGATTCCCGTCTCTCATGATTTATGGTGTTGTCCTACCAGGAGGGTGGTCTATCCGATGTCAGTGTATTGTCTGGAGCCGTCGGACGACATAGTATTGTAATTAAATGGACAACACGTGAAAAGATGGCCATTACAGCGGTCCATGTTCTTTCGCAAGGCCTGGGCTGTCCATGTTATTTCCGACGTCACGGTCGACATGGTTTTTATTCCTCGTATGGGAAGAGAGAAAGAAATCACTGAGTTTGACACACGTTAAAATGGTTATACAATCAACGTTACACGGGCTCTGGACAGCTCGGAAAGGTACGGTCTATTCCAATCTGGGGAGGTTCCTGGACACGGTCGTTCCGATGAGTAGCGTACATATTTCCACATGGTTATGGCATTTTCAGGTCAACACTGATACCCCATTTTAGGAGTCTCCCTCCGCTACTGGCATTTTACAAGTCAGAAGAATTCCAGGCGTCATGGACGCTCCACTCCTTCCAACCCTCCTGCTCGCCAGGAAGCCTGATGGCCTCCCACTCCTCGCGCGTCACCTTCTGCCACTGGTCAACGGGGATCCAGCCGATGTAGGCGCGGTCACCAAAGCCGCCGACCCAGTAGATGGCCTGGACGACGATGCGGGCCCACTCGCTCCTGTGGATGCGGTTGCCGGGGAGCCAGTAGCGGGCGTCCGGGTGCTGGGCGACGAAGCACGAGGCGAGGGCGGCCTCCTCGTCCGCGTCCGGGTGGAAGGTCTCGACGTAGCCCAGGATGGAGAAGCGGGGGAGATTGGCCGCGGAGTAGGGGACGGTGTCGTGGGGCGTGTCGTCGCCGTTGTTGTCGTTGTTGTTGTTGTTGGTGGTGGTGGTGGTGGGAGGGGACATACCGAGGAGGCCGCGCAGATGGTCGAGGAAGGAAAGCTCGGAGGAGGACGCGGAGGCAATCCGCTTGGCGGGCGGGTAAGGGGGTGTCCAGCGCATGGAGAGCGAGATGTTGGAGCCGGCACGGGCGTTCTGGAAGGAGGTGGCGATGGCGATGGCGAGGACGGTGGGGTTTCCCAGACCGTCGGCCTCGCAGTCGGCGATGTAGTCCATCATGCCGATGGGAACGCCCTCGAGGCCCGGGGGACGGCGCCAGTCCTGGGTCTCTGCGCCTTCGGAGTCGAGGGCGGAGGAGGAGGAGGAGGAGGAGGAGGAGGAGGAGGAGGACGACGACGACGACGACGAGGATGGGAAGACGGTGGAGAGATGGCCTATCTTTGATAGAGCCAGAATGCGGCGGCCCATGACAGCCGATTCGTACGACGTCGGAATCCGGAAGCCGGCGTCGACGGAGACGGATGGGTTGGCAAAGACGTATTCGGGGTGGGGAGGGGACATGTCGATCCCGTAAGCCTGTGAGGCGGTTGCCGAGAGGCAGGCGAGGAGGAAGGCGGCAAGCTTCATGATGACGATGGTGGGGGGATCTTGGGATTTGACCGCAGAGTAGACAAAAGGCAATGTGAAGAGGGTGAGGCTTGATAAGATGGCTGGAGAAGACGTTCGTTCTAATTAAATACTTGACAGGTCGGCTGCGGCTCGAGCAGGATCGTATGAGCAATGGAAAATTCCGTCGTAACCACGGTTGTCCACTAGCACTATGGCCGTATAAATGAGGGATTTCTTTAGCGAGCTAGACCGGGAAAGCCACAGAAGAGAAAAACAGAGACGAGAACAGCCGGGAGGGGGGCGGAACACATTTATGAGGGTTATCCAGAGGCAAGAAAAGACTGTCCAAGGTTGAAATGATCACTTTGGGTAACGAATGGCGTTAGAAGTCGGTCCCGTGCGGAGGCTGCACGAGACCACTAACGGGTTCCCAGCGGTTCCAGTGGTACCCGCTGTTTCTTGGCTCTCCACTTAGCCTGGCACCGAACCAATTAGCATCGTATTAGCCATCAGAAGATGATCTTATCTGATGGCTCTGGATTCTGTAACTGGTTTGCTCAGAATGAAGCGGGGCAGTTTCTGCCCCTCATCACTTCTCGTGACTTTTAGTCAAAAGTCACGGTCAAATTGGACTAGTATCATCATTATATCCAGTATTATTGCAATACGCGACTTAAACCCCGATAAGGTGGCGTGTAGTGTCTACGAACTAGGAAAGTCTGGACCCTGGGAATTTATTCTCCCTCGTACAGTCCCACCGTCACACGGGACAAAAATCAAAGAAGGGTCCACGGACTGCCACATCGTTCGTTTTTGGTCTTTTTCCGTACAAACAGATTTCCAAGGATCTTCCCGATGAGAAGCACTTCTTCTCGCAACAATATTGATCCGGTAGCAATGCGCATATCCCGTTTCTCCCCTCTTTCGTCGTACGCGGGAGCCTTCTAGTAATTACCCCACATGCGGATTGTGCCCATCATCAATCGAAACGGCGAGAGTTTGTCCAACTCCGCCATGGCTGGTTGGGACGACTTGCCAGCTGAGCTCAGGTCTTTGGTCCTCAGCTTTGCCATAGCTGCTGCGCAGAAAAGACCCAAGGCGCACCATCTCTCCTCCTATGCTGCCGTCTGCAAGGAGTGGCAGCATGTCGTCGAACCCGTGAACTTCGGATCCCTCAAGCTCACCGCCTCCGACCTGACCGATTTCGATGCCCTTGTGGTCGGCCCACGCCGCAGGTGGCTCAAATACGTCTGGTTCAGAGTCGAATTGCCCAAGTACCCGAAGAAGAAGAGCCACACGCCCGAAACCGAAGAGGAGCAGGACGAGAATGACCGCGTCTTCTCCCATAAAATCGCGAGCCTCTTCGAGGTCCTCTCCACCTGGCCCGAAGAGGACAGCTCGGGGATCGAGTTGGAGCTCAGTGCCAGGTCGCCGAGCGATACGCAGGCTCTGGCAGGCGCGGCTGGGCTGACGGAGGACGGGGAATCCCGGTACTTTGATTCCCACCTGGATTTTGCGTTTCTAGATACAGGATGGTTCGGATCGCACGGCCTCGTCGAAGTCTACGTTGTCACAAAACTGTCCATTCTGCGACGGTGCTGGCGCAACCTCGAACCCCGTGCTATCCTCACTATCGTCTCCAGTCTCCCGCGTCTCCGGGAGGTGAGATATGAACCGTTCCAGCAATTCGACGATGGTTCACAAGAAATCATCGACATGGGTACGTAAGAGACCTAACCTTCCACGCTCGAGGTGATCGGTTTATTATTCATCTTGTTCCTGTCTCAACTCTGACCCGTTCTCGTTGTGGTGGTGTAGATCGTGCTCGAGAACTGCCCTTCTGGCCTTCGACTTTGCAGCGAATCAGCTTCTTCGAACATTTCGACCCCATCAACGAGGAAACCGAGAGCAATGAGGAGGACGATGACTTCGAAGACGAGGATGGTAGCGAGCAAGGCGACATCAACGAGACGGAGCCGCGCACGTGCATCGCGCTGGCCATGAGCTTCGCTCGCCGCAGCATCCAGCTCGAGGAGCTAGCCGTCTCCTTCATGATAGACGCCCGCCACTTCTTTCAACCTTTCTTCGAAGCTCGCCTTCCGGCCTCGAAACCCGAGCTGCCCTTCTGGTCTTCACTCCGATGGTTGACGCTCACGTCGTCTGCGATTCACTATGACGAGGAAGCGGACCGGCTGGACGCCGTCTTCCTGGCGGCCGGGCGTGCGGCGAAGCGCATGCCCCAACTACGGGTCATGGAACTCTACAACGTCTGCAAGCATTCGGCCGGGGTCTTCCGTTACATGGTTACCGAGGGGATTAGCGGGACTCCGTCCATCGGCTGGGAGGGGACTTGGCAGTACGACATGGGCGAGCGCGTGAAGAGGGTCTGGGGCGAAGTTGCCTGGGCGAACGTCTCCAAGGCTCTCGTGGTACGTCCGGAAGAAGTAATGAAGTACGAGGGCATGTTCAAGTTCATCCACAACAACCTGGCAACCAGGGAGCTCGTATTGCACTGGGTATCATCGACGGAATTACTTGGTAAGAAGGAACCTCTTCCGGTACCTCGACTGAGTCTGCGATAGGAAAACAGGCGAATTTGGTTCTAGAAATCACCTACTTGGCCCCTAGTACCTTTCTTATAGTCCTTATGGTAAAATACCCTGGCATGATTGACATATCCCTTACAAGCCAAAGTCAATTGAGAATTCGAGGATCTCTAAACTTCCAAGAGACAATTGGTCCCTTTTTCGCGAGTCGTCCCGATATCATGCGGTATACAAGGGTGGACACAGGGCGTTCGTACTCCGCGCTAATTACCTTTATTATTACTCCGTGAAATGACTCACCGAGCCTGATGAGGTAAGGCAGGAGCGGGAGGCAAAGTGGGGGCTGGGCTTGCCACTTTTTGTTTCACGTGACCGGGGTTGTCGGCCACCACACAAACCCAAAGCGAAAAAAACCCTCGCCGCCCCATGCCCTGGCCGTGCGGGAATCGACGACAACCACCCAACAACGACAACATCGCACACCGCGTGAAACATCGTCCATCACCAGTCAAGCCAAGTTCATAGCACCCATCAACCGCGAAAATGGGCAAGGTGCGATTTTTTAGCCCCTCCGTTCCTCTGTCCCTATGTCGTCCTGCTCTCGTACAGATATGTAGGACGAGGGGGTACAGCGATATTGTGATGGCTGACGTTCTTCGCCACACAGGTTCACGGCTCCCTCGCCCGTGCTGGCAAGGTCAAGTCCCAGACGTACGTTCCTCCCCGATCAATTCTCAATCCCTCGAAGCATCCGACACCGTTCCTTGGATGGTCATCGATGATGGATCGATCCCCTTTGTCGGATAAATGATTTTACTGGACACAAACGCTCCATCCAAGCGCCTCATGCTGACCTGGATCCCGTTCACTACAGCCCTAAGGTCGAGAAGCAGGAGAAGAAGAAGGTCCCCAAGGGCCGCGCCAAGAAGAGACTCACGTACACCCGCCGCTTCGTGAACGTCCAGCTCACCGGTGGCAAGCGCAAGGTGAGCACCGAACGGGAGCCCATTCCGAAAGTTCTTTGGCTGGTCTATCTATGTCGGGGAGGGAGGGGTGTTTTTCTGCGCGATGACCGCAGTGGAGAAGAGACCACGAGATGGAAGAGAGAGAGACTTTCTTCACACCGAGATGGATGGAGAAATGATGTCGCGCGTCGAAACGGAGACAGATGGGACCCAGGCTAACGCAACACCACCCACACAGATGAACCCCAACCCCGGCACTTAAAGCAACTCATTCTCCTTTTTCCCATCGGCGTTATCCATTTTCTCAACGACTCTAGGAATGTCTTGGTAACGGCATGAAGGCATGAGGGTTATTGGAATTGAACGGGAATGTTCTTGTTAGCCATACATGCGTGAGATTTAGGGGAGCAAGGAAAGGGAGGGCGGGGTGGTTCGACAGGCCGTCGGGCCGCCCCCCGTCGTCGGATGTGCGGCAAAATGAAAATTTGAGCTCATCCTATTCCCGACGGCTTGCTTGCGAATTGCAAAATCGCTCGTGGGAAAGTCTTTGCACACACTCAGACACACATGTGTAGTGTTGTGCTACTTGTAACTTCGACATATGGACATTGTCGAAAAAGGGCACGATGGGGAAATAAACATTTGATATTTTCTCTCTTTCTCACACTCGCTTTCGTCATACAACAACATGTGCAATGCCAAAAGCCGGATGTGGTGCAGAGTGCGAACCGTCCCTGTTGACTGCCGGCCGCGTCCCAGGACTTTTTAAAGAGTCGCTATAGCGCCTTCATGCAGCAGGTCGATTCCTTCCTCGGCCCATGATGAAGACGCCGAGTTGAACGACGTGTTCTCTTCCCTGTCCTTACATATATGTGTGTCTGATAACCATTCCCAAACCTCGACCCATTCTCACCATTGGGATTCGACGACCCTTGACTTTTCACCGGTGTGGTGTATGTATGTACGGTCAAAGCATCCACCTGTGCGCTTTCGTATGCCACGAAAGAGCAACAGCAATGCTTCTAGGTAACGGCCTTTCAACTCTACCCTATGAATGGAATCCTTCCAAACATCCACCGGCGGTTCCGCGCCGTCGTTCTCGGTCTATACTTGACGCCTATAACTCACACATTGTACCGTACCATTGGACGTCTCATCATAAGTATAGATCCATTGTGGTAGTCTCACTTAACGTTGTCTGTACCCATACCACGCTCATCGCATTGGAGGAAAAGACACATTGAATGTAGTAGAAAAGAGGTATCTCCATGTAAAATATCCGTCCCAGCATGCTGTTCTATGTGACAAACCCGACGAGGCCAAATCAAATCCAGAAACCCAAGTGCCGACAAAACGCAGCATATAACACCCGTAGCAGTCCGAAAGACTAGCGCCCCCCCCCCCCCCCCCCCCCCCCCCTCCTCCTCCTCCTTCCATATCGCCCCGGGCCACAGCAGCAACCTGCTTCAGCAAAGCCGTCCAGACGCCAACTATCGCAAAGGACGCGCGGCAAAAGAATACCGGCGCTTCATAGCCAGTCGCCCAGTTGCGACAAGATCCGCTGTCATGTCCAGAGGGTTCCCCCATGTCCCCATGCAGCGAACCGGTCCGACTAGGTTGTCCCTCCACCTCGCGCCACATTGAGTGTTCTCCTCGATCATCTCGATCATCATTACATGACCTCGAGGCGAACGCTAGAAGCTAGCCGAATACATGGGACGTTTGCCCCATCCGAAGAAGCAGATGTCGTGAAAGCCAACGAGTCTCTGCTCAGTCATGACGCGCCCCTGATATCTTCCGTTACCCGTGAATAATACGACTTCATAGAATCCAGTCCAACTGGGCCGGGTGGGGTGGTTTCCAAAGACACAAATAACCCAGGAACCCGAAATCGAATCGTGTATCGCATAAACGCCTCGTAGTCCAATCTTTGCTCATCTCCTAATCGATCCGTGGAGAGAGAAAAGCTCAACGATCGTGTCGATCCTCGTCTTCGCGGGGCGTCATGTCTAAAGAAAAGCGAAAGAGAAAGGGAAGACTAAACCCCCTCCCCAGTTGAAGTTCCGTGATGCGCCGAAAGAAAACATACAAGGAAACGTAGACATTTCCCCGCCGGAACCCAAGCTTGGTAAAACAACCGTAGTCCGTCCATCCATATGACCATGACGTCGACTCGTTACAAACTCATCGTCAGCCATTCCCATTCTTGCGAACCAGTGGAGGGACCCCCCGAGTTCATTAGCGAACCACGTTGACCGCCGGCCCCGGAGATGCCCAGCATACTGCCCGGACTTGCGATCGGTCGCTGGGGCATGCCGAAGGCGTTGGCTAAACCGAGGGTCCCAGACGCCGACACGCTGTTCGTAGCACCAACAGAACCCAGAGGTCGTCCTCCATCGGTGGAGCCATTCGAGCTCTCCGGGCTATCGATATCCATGCCTGCGTTACTGTCTCCGCCTACGCTCTTGCTGTGGCGTCGCTGGCGTTTAGAGGACGCAGACAAGGATACATTGTTCCGAGGATGCGATGCAGCACCCGGGCCTGGCGTGTTTTTCGGCGGGGCGGCGGCGATAGGAACGACCCCCTTGCCTCCCACGGCGCCCACAGAGGACGCGCCGTTGAACGGGGTTGGAGTGCTGGTGCCAGTCGTGTTTCCCCCCGCTCCAGATCCGCCGGGGGAGGTCTCCCCTTCGTTGGGGCCGCCGGCGCGAACACCCCCCGCCAGTGTAACTTGAGACGCGTTCTGTAAAGTCGAGGAGATGGACAATGACGAGTTCTTGCGGGAGCCGATCCCGTTGGCGCCCTTTTTGGACCTTGTACCTGTACCACCGATGGGCAGACTATTGCCCGACCCACGGTTTCGTTTCTTGATAACGTCGGTTTTCAGACTGAGAGGCCTCACGACACCATGGAGCTTCAAAAAGAGACCGCAGGCATTGCAGAGCGGTTGGCCTTCGGGGTTTCGTCGCCACAACGGAGTCGTCTGCGTGAAGCAGTTGGTGCACGTTGTAGGGGCACCGTTGTCCCCTTGGTTGGACCCGGCTCCCTGCAGGTTCGTCGACGACCCGTGCTTCGAGCCTGGAGGGGACGTCGGCCGGCTCGGTGCGGCCGATGACAGACCAGACGCCTCGCCAGTGACGTCCGGGGGTGAGTGGGAGCTTGATTGAGCGGCCATACGGTCAAAGGGGTTGTTGCCACTGCTGCGGCCGAGATGAGTAGCCGGCGTTGAAGCCGTGCGTGTAAATTTTCCACCTCGCCTGTCCGGGTTTTGCTTGAATGACTGAGAGCGGGGCAGACTGCCTCCTCCTTCCCATTCACCGCCGGCATCGGTGGCGTCCGCCGCGGCATTTGTCGTAGTGCCTATGGTCACTTGCCTCCGCGTGGGGCCGCCAGGATATCGAGCAGCTTGCGTACTATACTGGCCAGGAAGCGAAGGGTCCCATCCAAGCGAGTTGTCATCCGCGGTGTTGGTTGGAGAGAAATCCTTGGGCAAGGAAAGATTGCGGTCTGCGAAGGCGCCTCCGTCTTCCTCGTCCGAATCGCCTCCAAATGTGAACATGTTCTCCTGCGAGAGCGGCACACCGGCACCCGGTGAACGAGTCGAGTCCTGGCCTTGGGTTTGGTAAACCTGCGTCGGGTCAACGTGGTCGAACGAGCTGGGGCCATGATGGTTGCCAAAAGAGGCCCCGGGTTCTGGCGCACTGGAGGCCACGGGGAACATAGAGTTGCCATCGGTCGGCGCATTGTACATGAACTGGGCTCCCATCTGGTTTCCGACATTCTGGGGTCCCGGTCCGGGATGAAAGGACTGCTGCCGCTGGCTGCGCATATCTATCGATCCGAAGTAGAATCCCTCGTTTTCAGTCATGGGGTGCGGTGTCGAGACAGCAGACTGATAGGCTGATCCGGGAGGTGAATACAATTCGCCACCGTTCATGGCAGACGTGGACAGCGAATTGCCGTTATAGACGTTGGAGAAAGGACCATGAGTCACCATGGGAGACGAGGAGGGGGAGAAACTGAAGCCTTGCTGAAAAGGCCCTGCGGAGGTGATGATTGGGTCATTCTCCATGTGGAAGCTCTCGAGCGGGAAGGCGACGGAATGCAGGTTGGGAGGCTGCGGCATGCCTGACTGGGGTGATTGGTCCAAAGAATACTCATGAAGCTCCGAGTCCGCACGCAAGTTATTGGCCATGTCGCCGGAGGAGCTGTTCACCGCTGGGACATAGGGAGAGAAGTTGGCTGGGCGTTTACGGGTCTGTGGGAATGGGCAGGCGCGGGTTAGCTCGATTGCAGGCATAGCGCAGTGAACCCAAATATTCGCCAGCAAGTGGCAGCCGCTCCAATACAGGTCAAAAACAGGCCATGATCACGATATGGGGAGAGCGCGGGGGCGGTCGCTGTAGGTGTCACAGCTAGGCCCCCCAAAAGAAGTGAAAAATCCACTCACGCGCCGGTCGTCAATACTCGTCTTGCGAGTGTGGCGTGTCACATAGTTGAATTCGTCTTGGGCCCTCCGGTGGCGAGGGGGATATGGGGCGGATTGGGGAACAAATTGCTGCTGAGCGGTCAAATCTTTGCGGGTTTTGATGGGAATGGCAGAGGCTGTGATGGGCGGCGCCGGCCGATGGTCCAATCTGGACTCGTCGAGTTGCTTGGACGGTAGGGGAGGAGATGCGAAGACGTCCGGGGTTGCGATAATTTCGGAAAAGATGAAGTCGTCGATATTCATGGGATCTGTATGTGTGGCGTGCTGTTCAGAAGTTTTCCGCAATTGCGCGATGCCGCTGGGGGCATTGGGAGCGCCCGTGTCCCGCAGAGCAGATTGGCGTGAAGCGGCTCTGCATGGCAGGACCAGTTAATACGACTGACACAGCCAAGATAGCAAAGCCAAAAAAAAAAGGAAGCGCTAGTTAGATATGAACCTGCAGTACAGTGGGGAGCGGAGAGAGAAAAAAAAGAAAAGAAAAAAAAAACAAATTGAAGAATATTGTCGGGGAAAGAAGGGCGAAGAGGGACGACCACGGCCATGGAGGAAAGACGAGGAAAGACGGGGAAAGACGAAAAAGTTCAAAGGCATTTGCGTAGCTTCGTCGTACCTGGACGCCATTTCCTCTTCCTGTTGCGTTCGCATTTTCCTCAGGTCGATGGCCATAAGGCGCCAGGATAGGTTCTCCATACGCTCCTGATTCGGCAAGCTTTGCTTCGTCCGGTGAAAGAACTTCCACATCTGGGTGACGAGGGGATCCTCGCGGCGTATTTGATCGAGGCCCTGGTCATCGGCGGTCATGATTGCGGGTTGCTGGAGATGAGGGAACGCGGCAGATTTCAAAATTCGGTCATGCGCACCCTTTGGCTGCTGATCAAGAGCCATGGAGAAGTCCAAGTCGAAGGTGCTGGGCGGCCTTCCTTTCGGCGTTTGCGACGACGACGACGACGACGAGGACGGAGGTCCAAGCCCGTCGACGGCGCTGGTGCCGTAAGGCCTCCGAGGGAAACGGTAATCGTGCTCTGTCGCGGCGATATTCATAGATCGGAAGGGGCTGGATATAGATGATGTGGTCGTGATCATAGCTGGTTGTTCCCGGTGATGGCAAAGATGTACGGAGTACGGATACGGGGAAACAAGGTACGAATAGGTATGTGTATGGGGGTGGTGGAGAGGAGGGAGGGAAGGGTGGGAAAAGAAAAAGAAAAAAAAAAAAAGAGAGAGAAGGCGAGGAGATGGTAAGCGGGGAGCTTCGCTTCGTACAGTAGGCGAAGGTTCCCCACGCCCAGGTCTGCTTGGCTTTTGGCGCAGAAGCCCGTCGTCGGGTTGGGGTTTCGGTGAACCTCGAGCGACCAAGGCCTAACGGGGTGAATTGTGGAGGGGTTTTTTAGGGGAAACCTGGGACGCGGGTTTTTTTTTTTGGCTTCGCCGGCCGGGGCTACTTGACTCGCACGGCCCCGCAAGCGTCAGATTTACGGAGTTGTTATGAGTGGGTGGTCCCAGGTACGTCAATTTCGTGTACGTCGTAGTTGTACTCTGTAACTTCGAACGGCTTTTTAAGGGAAACAAGTTTGTCCGAAAGAGTGGGTGGGTTATTGGTTGTTACCCAGGTTCGACTGGCTGTTCTTCGTATGTTCTTCGTACCGTGTACGGAGTAGATCCACCTACTGTTTTCCTTCGACGGTCGCTCACGGATTTCGATAATCGCATACTTCGTAGAATCGACATAGGTAATCGGCCTTGAATTTGCGTGGAAGGTCTCTTGCACGAAACAAGCATCATCGGTTACAGTAGGCGAGGCCCATTGTCCGTCGCGGGAGGAGTCTAGTCTAGGGAGGCGCGAGATGGGGAGATGGGGAGATGGGATGCAGAGTTGTTGCATGGATGCGTGGCTGCATGGCTGCACGGCTGCATGGCTGGGCGGAGGGAGGGTGGGACACTTTCGAGAAGACGGGTTTCTGGTAGGTTATTCGCTCGTACGAAGTACATACGGCTACTTCGTACAGAACTAACGTCGAACTTTTGGCTGCCGCTCACCGCTGGACCGGGGTGTTGGACGGGCCAGAATCCGACCCGACATGAAGGCGGCCAGTGCTGTACGTTGTATGGATGGGTGGGGCATCGTCCCTGGACAGGCGGGAACCTTTGAACAGGCACCCAGGCTAATAGGAACAGAGCCTGGAGCTTTGTCGAGTTCGGTGGATGAGCCCGGCTTTCCTCTCGTGGTTCCTCACAGCGGTGCGTTGCGGCGGCTGCAACTAGTCCCTACACAACGTACTCAGTATCCGCACAACCACTCAATCCTTGACCCAATCACGCCCCCTGGCTCCGTTCAATGTGGATCTACGGGCTGTAGTAGAGAATGGGGATATGGCTCCGTCTCCACGAAGAGTAGAGAGGCGTATGTATCTGTATGTATGTGTCGGCGTTCTTTCTTCTCTTCATCTCCTTCAGCTCGTAGGCGTCCCGTCCGCGATGCGCAAATGCGGGTGTCGAGAGGGGGGAGAAATCTCCGTAGGGGATTTCTTGCGTCCCGTCTCCTTATTATTGAAGTATGTACTTTGTAGGCACAACGTAGGCATTTTGGTACGTATGTATGTACGCAATGGGATTATTCGTCCTTGGCACCCATGTGGGTGTGCTGTCTGGTCTGTCGTGTGTCGGGTGAGAACGGGTTGGGATGGGGCAAGTTGTTCGGCGTTTACCACTGCCCAGCAAGCCAGTATTGGGGCGGCATCCAATATTAGGCAATATCCACGATCCGCACCATGAATCCCATCGTTCCTAGTAGCTCTATTTTACCCGACAAAGGTTAATCGACCTTGGTGGAGACGAAGGCGGGGCTAGGCGAGAGTCGACTGATCGAAGAGGCGATTGCACTTGCACTTGCACTTGTTGATCGAGTCGTAAGGATAGGCAACCCCGATGCGGTGAGCGTCAGCCCAGGTTTCTCCTGTGTCGTAAGGTCCAGGGTAGTCGAGCGAACATATGTTTGCTGGTCATCTTTTCGCCAAATCCACGGTGCATGATGGGTTGGAAAAGCGAAGTAAGTAAGCTATGGGATAGTCAGTGTTATTAACAGCATCGTCTCTTGGCATGGGATGTCGCTGGGTTAATTAGTCACGCCCATGACAGTGCTTTTTGCTTTCAGGAAAGGAAGCACCCCCTTATACCTGCCTTACCTGTTGCTTGCATTTGGGCCAACACCGTGAGTGGTGAGTGGGTGGTCCTTGCCTCATCCCCTGCCACTGCTCAATGCAAGAAGGAACAATGGAACTTCGAGCCCAGATCAGCGACGGGGAGCTCCTGTCGTCGGGGGCCAATGTTACAGTGCTGCGTAACTCACGCCTTGAAGTATTCGGACATACATACAAAGTACCATTCCGTCCCAAAATATAGGTACCAAGCTTTCCACATGCGTAGACAACCCGATATACACGTACAATCCGAATACTACCTAAGGTACTGTAGGTAGAAATACAAGGCAAATCATGACAACCGAAATCGATCCCTGCCCTGGATACAACTTCGCAATTTACGTGTACGAATATCTAAGGTACACTTCGTCTGCCCCATACCTAACATACCTCAGCAAAGCCAAGTGTCATGTGTACTTTAGGTGGCTAGGATCGCATCTTATATAACGTCGAGCTAATTACTTCGTATTACTCTCTGGGTAGCCCGCCGCTGTTGCTGTCTGTCTGTGACCGTCGAGCTGCGAAAATACATCCAGATACACTGTACCATGCCGCGTGCTACAATCCAACCTCCAAATACGTTGTACGACAAAACGAATCAAAGATGCCCCGGAGAGTGGGGGGTTTTGTCTCGGACAGGACCCATCGTCGTCTTAACGTCGTACAAGATCATCGGGACGAACAGGGAGGAGAATCGAGACATGACAACGTCAAACCCCGACCTGGAGAACTACCTGAAGCAGTAGTAAACCCTATGTAAAGTGCTCCGTATTTGTGAGAGGGACGCTCAGCACCACTCGCATGACACCGGTAAGGGCAGCAACGGCCCCCCACACGACAGGGATCTGGAATTGCACGTTGTACACTACGGTATGTACATACGTACAGTACATGTACTGGACTGGGGTACCCTGTAACTCCAACAGACCCTGGACACCACTACCAACCACGATCCTCCCCCACGAGTTGAATATCCTCCACCCAATCAAGTCTGCCCAGGAGGCTTCTTCATAAAGTCGGGCAGGCAGTCGACAGTGCGGATAGAGTAGGAAGAAGGTAGTTGCCTTGTCAAACCGCTGTCTGAGATGAAACGCATTTTACCGGGTGCGCAATAGTACACTATAACTGAGTCTGTGCATACGACGTATAATTACATACCTACGTTGTCACGCTCAATCCGCAACTGCGGCTGGCCCCGGGGGACGGGGACTACCTTGAAAACACAGACCTAACTCCTTCCTGGTGGGGGAGACTGGTGATCCGGCGGCTTTTCGACCTGGTATTCACCGCCATGACGTTGAAACCCCCAACTTCACCCCATACTCCATACATCCATACATCCATACCTACATACCTACATACCTACATGAAGGGTATTCCCCGACTAGCAGGTATGCGCCCGCAACTCGGTTATGGTTGTATGTGAACCGAATCATGATTGAAACGAACTATGCTACCTTGGTTAGATTGGAATACGTGTTGTACCTTATGGTCCGGGATGGCGTCGCAAGGCCTTGCAACCTCAACTCGGCACTTCCCCTCTGTATCTGTATCGCCTCGCATTTAAACCGTTCCTCCGAAGCCGACACTTTCTCCCGACGGGAACCCGCGGATTCAACAGCACGTTGAGATGGGGGTTAAAGACCTCAGACCTCATCGGACAACGTACCTTACCATGTAGGTACCTACGGATACGTAGCACCGACCTCGTCCTGCAGACAATAATCTCCGTCGGAGAGGGTGGCTCCATCCAGCAAGAATGACAATATCGCGCTAGGTTTTTTCCCGGGCACGTCTCACCATCTGGCCTTGTAACAAGGGACACGCTCCCCCATGAGACCTATTCCGAGTTATTCCTGATGCATCTCACCCGAATGCTACTGCACCTCAAACCAGTGCTCTCTTTGTCCATCCACATGGCTGCTACTGGGTCACCCCCCGCTTGCCCCCACGCTTCTAGTCCACACAGGCGAGGGGGCCCCTTGTTTTGGATGACGAAATATCGTTTGTCGACAGCAGCCGTATCTTTAGTACAATTAAGTCCGAACCTCGAATGCGACCTCCCTTCATGTTCTTCAGTTGTCCCAGCTTTATTTATTCGTACCGTAGCGACTCTCGCCGCACTACACGTAGCCTAGAACACGACACGATCTATCATCACACCATTAGGGTCTAACATTTACTTCGTAAGTGACTAACTCGTTCGACATATGAGCTGTTTCACACCCTCACAGAAGGGAGCTCCTCTCTTTTCACATGTTAGAAGAGGCGGGCTCTCCAATTTACCATATGAAGCTAGTTGCCGTTCACCGGCCAGCTCCTCCGAGGTGACAGGCGATGTTTTTCCATACCTCGGGTAATGGGGCCTGACGATATTTCGCGCACTTGCTTTTATGAGGAGGGAGCATCCGTTCCTGGCTCTGGAATATGCCACATCCTGCTCCGATCTCGCATCCAAGGAGTCGTGACGACTCCTGTGAACAGTTCAATTGTCTGTAATTTAGCGTCTTTGCCAGACCCGCCCGGCCATTTGGCCAGCCGCGAAATAAAGATGTGATTTGTGCGGTTGGTGCGGTTGGTCCTGCGGATATTTTGCCACCTCGGGGCCCTCATGGGTTCTGGATGTCTCCGCCAACGCAGTCGTGCTCCAGCGGTCTGAAAGAGGACGGTTCTGCATGTCTGTTCTGGCCCAGGCGATGAAGTCTCCAATGCGGGACTGTTCGGCTGTGTCCTCGACGCTGATTCTGATGGCCGTCCGTTTTTCACTCTCGCTGCCATTCCCAGAGGTCCTCTGGGTTTAGAGACAAATACGCATGGAGGGTATTAGTTCTTTTAGGTATTGGAGTGCCATGTTGCGAGGGCTTCCTTGTTGCCGGTTGTGTCGCAATCTTCCAGAGAGCAGAGCCGAGTAAGTTGAGTTCTCGAGGGTCAGACATTGAGGGTTCGATTTAGGATTCGTTGTCGTCCAGATGATGGATAAGCATTTTTCTTTCTTTCTATGCGCCGAATGACGAGACAGTTTCTTTTATACTTGGGTACAGGATAGCCATTGCCTCCGTACGCGTCGGGTGGATGTCCAGCTGCTTCATAGGGAGCTGTCTTATCATTCAGGGTCCTCTCCTTTTTGTCCAAAGGGGGCAGTTGTGTCTTAATCCTGTTCCATTTGCACATCGATAAAGTACAACGTCACATCATCTCGACGAACCAGGGCCTTGTTGCTTATCTCTATCTCTTGCTATCTCCGTTCTGCCCTTCTCTGCGTGAAGGCATTACTTCCGCTATCAGACTATCCCTAGCAGGCCGCCAATTCCGCAGGGGATAATCCACGACAATATGCCTATTTCAGACCTCTGAGTTTCTGCCTTGTACCGACACGGGATATGCATAGCGTTGACTATGAGGAACCGATTGGCTACTGTTCCTGGCCTTATCTTAAGGACTGGATCTGCACTCCGTAGTATATCTATCTATATAGGCCTGCATAGGCCTGCTCCTATGGGTTTGAATTTGTCCAACTCGAGTCGGAGTTTCTTCCCGAAGAGACGTCCCCAATGAGGATGTTCCATCACCTACCCTGACGAGGGAAAGAAAAAACATGTTTCGACAACGGATGATTCCTCTGCTCGGCTCCGACCCCCATCTCCCTCCCCCCTCGTCGAGCTTAAACACCAACCGAGACGATGCCCGAGACGATGCCCGAGACGATATCCGAGCGCCGACGTCTTGCGAAGAAAGGAGGCGGTAACACAGCATGACTGTCCTGGATTACCTAGCCTCTGCGTCGGAGAGCGCAAGATAAGGGTCAGGAGTATTTTACGAACGACGTCTGGAAAGGGATAGTCTCGGTAGCCAGGAATGCGGTGCTTGCGAAGCCCAAATTGGGGTCCCTGGAGCATCGTTGAAGATCCAACTTGACGATAAACGAACCATCGAAACGCCCTGATAAGTGTGTCCAGCTCCAAGCAGGGCGATGAATCAGGCGAGCGGAAGTCGTCATACAGAGAGCTATCTTGAGCTACGACCAGCACAGATCGAAACAACCAACACGGGACGAGGGCCGGGAACTTTCATCATGGACGAGCTAACGTGGTCATCCTGGATTCAGCATGCTATCTACATGCACATCTTATCAGATGAGAAGAGGAATAAGGTGGGTGATGTGTGTGGAAACTTTGAGGGTGTGTAGCACTACGCCGCCTGTAACGACATCACACACCCTTCCCGCTCCCTCCGTCGTCCGCCGTCCGCCGTCCCCAGTCTTCGCTGCTGCTCTTACAGACAACGACCTGAGCCTACGATACACCGATCAAACTTATTCCAGACCCAAAAAAACAGAGCATGATATACCGCAGCACAATGACCTCAAAGCAACGACAGCGCCCTGCATCACCCTCCCGCACCCATGATCCTCGTCACTAATCTCGAAGTGCTATCGACATGCTTCTAAAACCCAGTGCACCGCATACGCCGAGTCCGGGACCACTATTTCCCGCTTCGCCCAATCGATTGACCTACGATAATCGAGTTCAATGGAGACAACATACGCACTCACAGTGCTGACGTGGGGGTTCACGTGGAATCTCCGGTTCGTGAAGGGTGTTTGGTGCTACTCCCAGCATCTGCCCATTCCTAGTCCAGACCGACCTTTTCGCAGCTTCAGCGGAACGAACGTCGCGCCATTGCGAGCCAAATCCCACAGTGCGCCAGGCCTTCTTCAACGCGATCATCGTCGCGTTCGGTACGGCCCCGAGGAAACAACACTCGCACCCCGAGACTTTCCAGGCCGGCTGTAGATGACAGGGTTGGATTTCGGCCATGGGGATTCCATCCCAATGCGAGCTGGCCCTCCATCCATGAGGCGAGAGGCCCGTCTAAACCGGATTAGTAGCACCATACCATGGATTCTCTGGCTCGCATCCTTTGCCAAGAGCACTGCAAGATAACCAAAAGTAGTCTCGCCCCGATCTGCGGCCGAACGCAAACACATTCTGGATATACAACAGGTATCCGTCGAGTGATGAGGGTCAAAGAGTTCAGGAAGTGTTAATTTGGGGTAGAACAGCGTAGACTCGAACTTGACATTTCAGGGGAAATGGCCTCTCGGGTCTTCCACCACAGTGTGAAAGGGTAAGAACCCACGGAAGGCTTGGGCACTTGCTGAATATCAATAAGTAAGTGCCTTGTCGATACTTTAGACTCTAGTCTTACATGAAGAAGCGGCTCAATGCTTGGCCGCCCTTCACTCTTCGTGTTTTGTTTTGTCCCCATTTCCTGTGCCCATATGCTGTGGTCGAATCCCGCGCTCTTACAGACAGGCAGCGTGCCTTGGATAATTAGGTAGAGACCCTCCCCCGGATACGTGTTTGCGGAGCTCCGAACGAGAAGCCCAGGCTCGATAGGGCGAGAGCCAAAGAGAAAAGCAATAGGCTGAGCCTGAGAACAAATTCGCAATCCATTCGCTCCTCGCTCAAACCGACATGTGTGTGTACTCGCCAATGCATCCATTCTTTCCAGCCTCCAACCTGGAAATACCCGTCCATCACACATCCAACATTGGTCATCAAGTCCGACGAAAAGAAAAGAAAAAAAGGGGCGTGGGAGGCGGGGAGAGTAGCCAGTAACACAACAACAAGAAGAGAAAAGAGAGGAATTTTTAACTCCCGGTACAGGACCGAGAATCGAAGAGGAATTAGAAAAAGCCCCTGCGAGCGTAATGGTGCGCTCGTGTCCTTTGGATGAAAGGCCGGCTCTACAGCATCGTGCCAAAGGTGTCGCTCTCCTCTCGGAACGGGTTGGGCTTGCGAGGGCTTCCTTCCTCGGTAGCCGCCTTGCGATGCCGGAACGTGAATCCAACGAAGAGGCCCTTGCTCATCTCTTCTTCGCGATCCGCCAAACCCTCCAGAGCCTGTTGCTTTTCGTGCACCTCCTTGTACTTAGCCATGTCCGCCTCGTTGGAAAAATCATCGAAGTAGCCAGCGTCCGTCTCCGAGTCCAGCTCGGGGACGAAGGGAGCTTTGGTCTGACGTAGTGTCTCCCACTCTACCTCGGCAAAGTAGTGATGCCCGTAAATGTCCTGGATGCGGGAGAAGCGTTTTGACCGGGAATTGATGCAACTGTAGAACATGACACGTCAGCGGTGAGGGAACTGCGAAGGTGTAGATAGAGGAAATGCGAAACATAATACTCACGTAGTGATGAAGTTCCAAGTGCGGTTGCTCAGGAAGTAGTTAGGATCTTCCCAAACAGGCCTTTTCAGAACCTCCTTCCAATGCTTCAGATTTCTCCACGTCTCGTCAGGGGTAGAACCGGCGAAAGGAGGGAATCCGGTCAGCGCTTCGAATAACATGCAGCCTAGACTCCAGTAATCCACCGTGAAGTCGTACTCCTCGCCCCGGAGCACCTCCGGGGCCATGTAGTCAGGAGAGCCGACTATGGACTTGGCGTAATTCATGTCGTTCGCGCGCATCGACTGATATCCCTCTCGTCTTTCAGCAACGGTGCGCTGATCCATGGGCTTGCCAAAAGGAACCGACGTCTCCGATGCCTTTTCCAACCGGATCCGCATCGACTCAATCTTGGCAGGGGCTAGCATGCCAGCAGCCAACCCGAAATCGGTCAGCTTAACGTGGCCCGTGGAATCGACGAGGAAGTTTTCGGGCTTGAGGTCACGGTGGATGTAGCCGAGCTGATGGAGGGCGTCGACGGCGCAAAACATCTCCGCAATGTAGAATCGGGCATGGCGGTTGCTGAGCACGCCAGTATTGTTGAGGAGCGTCCGGAAGTCACCGCCCGGCACGTACTCCATGGCAAGATAGATGCTCTTGTCGTCTTGAAAGGAGTATAGCAACCGGACGAGCCACTCGCTCTTTGCTGTGGTGAGAATGTCTCTCTCGGTGAGAACGTGGCGGATCTCATCCAACTTGAACAGCAGCTTTTTGCTCATGACTTTCAGGGCACACACTTCACGGGTATCCTTCTTCTGGGCAAGGAACACCTGGCCGTAGCCTCCCTGTCCAACCTGTGTGAGGATCTGGAAGTCACCCTGACGCAGCCGGACCCGCCTCTTGCGAAGATTGGCACGCTCCCGTCCCGTGTATTTCTGCCACATCTGTTTGTACGTCTCTTCATCCGTCTCGTCTTGGGGGAACTCGGCTCGGAAAGCAGCCAGACGACTCTGCCGCGAACCGACGTACGTGAGGAGGTCGAAATAATAGTCCAGAAAATCTACCAGATGCGTTTAGTGGCGGGT